AAATCAAAGCAAAGAAATATTTAAGCTCCTTCCCATATTGAAATCTGGAAGTACTGAATATCTCTTGTAAGTAATAAACCGAAACGCATTATGCAAAAAAGTTTCGATAATAGTACATTTCTATTTGTTAACACATAGCGCAAGAATTAACATTTGTCCCAACACCCATCGCATAATAGTCATATTATACAAATATTAGAAGTTACAGCAGTTAAATTCAGTGTCTCCTCTTGCATTATAAAATCTCAACGTTCAACTTAGTCTCATTTATAATAATTTATAGAAGTTTTTACTGTCATCTTTCTGTTAAACATCATTCCACTTTAAGAAAATGTCTATAATCAGCAAACTGACCAATGACCGTATTTGATATTATGTATAGTTTTATCACTCAAGAACTAAGGAAGCACTAGCATAACTGACAGAACTGTCATTCATATTGTTACATTGACTACTTTGAGCATATTTCAAAAATTTCAGATTCATTCTTTGACCATTTGTATTTCCTTTAAGACTGTGAATTGCCTATATGAAGACATAAAATACAACATTGATTAAAATAATTGGAATCCAACTCATTTAGGACCTGAGACACATAAAGAAGAAATATTAGAGAGAGGAATAAATATTAAGATTTTAATCTATCAGATACTAATTACACTAGAATACACGATTTCTGATAAGTTGAAATCTGAAGCTGAAATCTCAATATTTATTCCTATTCCTAATATTTCCTCCATTGTGCGCAGGACTTTATCTATTTAATTTTCTTGCTTTATTACCTGCAACAAAACGCCAATTGGATGTCGGCCACATATAGTATTGCCATATTTCTTAAGATATTCGGTGAACATTAGAGGATTCAAAGTCTCTATAATGTCCATACCCTAATTTAACGAATATATGTAATATTGTAGACAATATATTTAAATTACGAAATTAATCGTCATTCTTGCTCAAAGAAAAGAAATTAAACACCATACCATTTTATCGAGATTTTGAATAGATCTATGTATAGGTCCACATGATCTATCATAGTAAGTATAGCGAAAACGTTGTCCCCAGTGACAGAAATCTGAAGAAATGACGAACAATGTTTGCGGATCAGCCATGTAGGGCGCTAACAATCTTCCGTAAAGCGCCTCTCTTTCCGGACTCAAAGATCCCACCAAAATTGGGATTATAGTAAATGAGTCCTTGAATCTATAAATAC